CAACCTTTCATCTAAAGTAGCTCTTTTTGCTGATGACTCAACTTTATACTCCTGTCTTGACAAAAATCTTCTCTTTTCGGTCGCCTGAAACAAGCAGCTGATCTTGAATCCGATCTCACTTCAGTAATAGATTGGGGTTCACAATGGCTTGTGAATTTCAACTCTAAAAAAACCCAGTTGCTTACTGCAAACAACTGAACCTCTTTCCCATCGTCGTAAAGTTGCATCTCTTTCTCTTTTCTACAAATACTATCATTGTCACTGCTCAAAGGAGTTATCATCTCTAGTTCCATCAACTAAAATTCATTCTCGTTTTACTCGTCATTCAGCTAAGTCTCATTCGTTTACTGTATCTGTCCCTGCATGCCCTAAAAACTTTTATTCATCTAGTTTTTTTTCCCGCACTTCAATCCTTTAGAACTCTCTCCCATCTTCATGTTTTCCTGACTCATACAACCTTCAACTTTTCAAGTCTTCTGTCAACCGTTTCCTTGCTCTATAACTCTGTTCTTTTTTTCCCTAGTAACTCCCAACTTAAAAGTGGTTGCTTGCAGCCTTGTTGGGAGTGAATGCAAATAAAAAAAAAAAAAAAACATTCTTATTTGACATAAGCATAAACATACAAAAGTTTGTATTGAATCATTGGTGATATTATTTGAAATAATACTGTCTATTTTTTTGGTAGTTTTTTAGGATAAGTACTTTTTCATAAAAGTGTTGGGAAATCAAATATAGAAGAAATTACATCTTTTTTTAGTTTCTTTTGTGAACTTGAAAAGGCATACTTCATACCAGTGAAATGTTTACCACAAAGTTTAGACAGTTTACTAGGAGTAAAACCATCCCTCCATTGTATCCATTTTCTCCTCAATTTCAGATCTTTCAGAAAACTACCAACAAAAATAGGCATATTAAAATAATATGCTATTTATATTTGAAATATAAGGTAGGATCTTAGCAAAGAATGATTTGTAGCTACTTACACATGAAAAGAAACCCCTTTAGTATATCTTTGAGTGGAATTATATGCAGAACAAGATAAAATCATGATCTTTATATACCTATATTCTATTTGAAAATCAAAATTTAAACAAAATAATATACATAACAAATATTAAAACTTTAAAAGTGTTGAATACATTAAGCTATTTTTGCCCTAAACCGATATTATAAATTGTTTAATGCCCAAACGTGATGTCACGCGCAAAAAGATGTTGGTTTTAAAATTGTAAACAAATAGTTTCTATAATATTAGCACATTGACTATAATATGAATATAGGAATTGCTCTTTGTTAATTAGGTGCAATTGAAGAAATGTATCAAAATCAGTTTGAATACATGACCATATATATGTGCGGCCCCTCCCCTAGCCTATAGGGGAGACCCGTTATGACCATCTGTTAGTCAGAACTTTTTTTTATTTATGAATATGTGTCCAAAACACAAATATTTTTTAAACAAATATTTTTTGTACAATGCATTTACACAAAAACATGTATTTACAATATTTTTTTAAACTTGTTTTGATATAATTTATTATATTATGTGTTACACTCATGAATATAACTAGTATGAACCTTTAAAGCTTGAGCCGCCACCCCCACTCAAACAAAAAAACCCAACCCCAAACCCCCAAAAACCCCTGCCCAAAACCCTAGGAAACCCAAAACACACTACAAAACAGTAAACCTCACACTGACATTAATTTTAGAAATTTTAATGAGTATGAAGTTTTTGTTATTTCTTGAATAAATTTGAATTTTGCGCACTTTTAACAAGAAGTTATCTATATGTGTTACATCTTTTTTAGATCATGGACAAATTTGAAAGAATGATCATTATTGATCAGAATTAGATAGGCTATTGCAAGTTGTTCAAAAGTTGTATACCCGTATTGATGTTCCATCTGCCCTAATACAATTTCATAAGACTAACACTACCAGAAGTGGGATGTTGTGTCCAATTATTATTGCTAGTGTAAGTTTAACAAAAACTTGTTCCTTTTTTTTATTTTATAATTTGATATTTATTTATGTACTGTTATGTTTAATATATTATTTTTAACAAATTTTTAGGCTGAAGATAATATTTCTTCTCCTAAGCCGCACTTATTATAGGAGAAAATATAACATTAGTTGACAAAGGGAAAGTAATAGCAATGGGTCATTGGTATAATGATTTACTACACGTGCTTCAACTTATCGCTTATTATTATACTATGGAACTATCTACCCAAGATTGTTGGGAGGAGTTTTAGGGCTGTTGCAGCATTATGTTTTGCAATTACCTTGTACAAATAAGCTTTGGCTAAAAAAATCTTAAGTCTTGTGAAAAGTGTTGTTGTTTCTTCGTATTTTGAATCTTAGCTTAAAAGATCAAAACGATTAAGTTGAAGCTTAAAAGAATAAAAAGCTTAATAAAATAAAAAAATATAGACAATTCAAAAATAAATGTTTATATTTGATGATGGTTTTTAGACAAATAAAAAATATTTTTATTAATTAAGGTTGTTTTTTATATTTAAGTAAAGTGTGTCGTTTAATAATTATTTGTCAATGTGCAACATTTTTTATTAAATTAGTCACAGGATTTTTTAAATGGTGTGGCATTTATATTTTTTATTTCTCACAAACATCTAAAACACTATTGTGTCCAATGTCACCAAGCCGATTTAATGCGCCACATTTAATTTCTCTATATGTGGTGTGAAAAATTGGGTTTGGTGACATGCGACGTGATAGTGTTTTTGATATCCCGTAATATCACACCATTCTTACTAGCTAAAAGTCACATGACAATTTTAACTCTTAATGTTGTGTGTTAAATCGGGCTTTGTGACATGGCAGTTTCATTAGACAATTTGGAGTGATATTTTTTACAATGTATAATTTGAAACATCAAGTATGGTTTTAAAAATCAATCAATCAATATATTTCTGGAATAGTTAGTGGTTGCATTTAAGGTTCTTTACAAATAGTAATATCACTAACATTAAGTAAACACCTTATGAAAATGATTAAAATAATAATGATTGTAATAATAAAAATAATATATATAATAACAAACATAAGAATCACAACATGAAAAAAACAAAAAAATAACATTACTAATAGTAATAATGATAGCAATAATAATAATAAAAATAAGAATGATAAAAATAATAATAAGTAACTCGTTTTATAAACACAATAGCTATATATACAAAGTTACACAGTTACAAACAGTAAAAAAAAACTGATAAAATGTAACAACTAACAATGTCATAAAACATTTATTTAAATAGAAAACAAGAAAATAGGAAAAGTAATAAAATTAAAAATAATAATACCAATGATAACAATTATAATAGAAATAACAATTACAAAAAAAAAAAAAAGAATTAAAAATAAGTAAAAAAAAATTAACATTCAAAGAAGTAATAATATCAGAAAAATCAAAGCTAACAAAAATAAAATCAAAATTTTTTTTTTTAATTTAATATTGTTACATGCAAACACAAACATACATATACACATATACAGATATATAGATATACATGCACACATGTATACACACATACATATACATACACATACAGAAATAGACATACACGCTTATATACACTCATATACAAATTCACATTTTGATATACAGTTTTAAAAATATATACAACTTTAAAATGTTGGACCAACATAAAGCAAAACTGAAAATAAATTAAAAAATTTTTGTTTTGCTTTTTCTTCTATTTTAAAAATAAATTTTTGATATTCTTCATTTATCTTTCTCTATTTTTTTCTTCCTTTAAATGATTAAAAAATACCTCTGCCATTTTTGCAATGTCATTTCAAAATCAAAAAGTATGGTTTAAAACATCAACTATGTTTTAAAACATCAACTATGTTTTAAAACATCAACTATGTTTTAAAACATCAAGTATGGATTGGAACATCAAGTATGGATTGAAATTTTTGTTAAGAAAATAAAAGTTTTTGATTGCATTTTGGAGTTTGTTGTTACATATTTAAAAATAGTAACTATTCTTTTACAGAAATTTACACTCATGCTTTTCAACTTGATATTTTTACTTTAGATAAGCTTTATCAGTATTAAGTATTCAATATTAGTTGATAATTTTGTTCTAACTACAAAAATTTATAAAGGAGTTTAAAACATGGTTTACATCTATTACTTTTTATGGGTCTTTAAAAGCATTTTATTTCAAAACAATTATTTTAGTAAATTTTGAAAATCTCATTTCATTCTTTTTTTTTCTTTTTATATAGTCTTAAATTTAGTTCTGATGATTTTGTTGCAGAACCAATAGAATTATATTAATAATGGAAGAAGATACCATGTGTCTTCTAAGTATGGATAAAAAAGATTTTTTCGATGAAAGCAACGTTAGATGTTTATCAGTTTCCAAGACATCTTGTGAAAAACGTTTTAAAAGGTTGTTTTTTTTTAATTAGTATTATTTTTTACTTTTTGTTTTAAGATTTACTTTTTGATTTGATTAATAATTTTTTAATTTTTTTTTTATATATATTTGAATAAAATTGAGAACAAACTTCTTTCTTTTTCAGATACAACTTGTTAATGTTATTAGCTTCTTTTATTGCTTCTCTGGGAGGTATTCTCTTTGGTTATGATATAGGTAAGTATATTGTATACATAGTGGTAGGGTGCTGGAGTTGTATCCATAACTAGAGCAAATTGTGTTATAGTGTTAAAACAATCATTTTATATTATAACTAAAATAATAAGATGTTAAAATTAAAACCAAAGGATGTTATAAATAGTCATTGTAGTTGTAGTTTTCATAGGAGTAGTAGTAGTGTCTAGAATTTGCTGGCAATGATGCCATTGAATTTTTTGTTTGATATTACTCAATCTAATACTAAAAATCTTGGAGCTAATATATCTTTAATTGCCCAATAATATCTTTCAGTACTGGAACATTGAGGTTTGTTAATGCAGCCTAGAAACAGATTGTCAGTCGGAAGCTTTAGGTTAATCCATAATTTTTTACAGTAGTTACAAATTAAATCTTTATGTACGTTCTTTGAGTTGGTTTGAGAAGATTTTGAGGTTTATGTAAATATCTATGACTCCTCCAAATTTTTGTCAGATGATCTGTTTAATAAATGTTGTAATGTGGAAAAGTTGAGTCCATTAATTGTTGAATCATTTCTTGGTGATAAAAATAATGTTGAAGGAGTTTGATTTTGCAAGTAAGCAGAGTTTGGTGAGTTTTAATATGGTCTGGACAGATGTAGATGAATTTTAATTTATCTACTCAAGTATTTAATTTATCGACAAGTGATTTGGATAAAAGATTCCTTTTTTTTTTGGTTGGTCATAATAAGCCCATAATTTGGTTAACCAAATTATGGGCTTGTTATGTGTTAGTTGCGTGTGTTCTTTATGAACAGATATTTTTCAATTCATAATTCAATTTTCAATCTGATAAGTAGCAAGAAGGTTACCATTCTGAATAATAGCAGATTTCTTTGATTGAGTGGTTGAGTAATTTTTATATTTATTTTGCCTTATTACACAGAGATTTGTTAACACAAATACTTTGTGCATGACAAATTAATCGAAAGCATGTGCTAATTGTAACAATGCTTAGTATTAAAAATTTTCAATAATAATTTGTATACAAGAGAATTATTTTTAAGTTTTTATGTTATTTTTGCTTTGTATGAGATTTATTCTTATTATTTTTCACACCTCTGCACATTTACTTCTGATAATATTTTAGTCCCTAAAAATTATTCCTGAAATAACGTTGTAGTTAGGTTAGTATGCTCCACCAAATAACAATGTAGTTAGGTTAGTATGCTCCACTAAATGACATTTTTTCAAGTTTATTTAAAATCATTTTATTTATCTAGACGTGTTTCGACTATATATAGTCATCATCAGTTAAAATATATTTGTTAAAAACGGTATGAAATATAGTATATAATTGTAAAAATAAACATAATAAAAGCCATAAATCTGTAAACAAACTTCCTATATATATACAAAAAGATTTGTTAAAAATTATTTTAAAAAATGTCAAATATAACAAAACAAACCAGAAAATCATATTAAATTATAAGAGTCACTTTAACATGGTTTACTTGTTTATTCATATTGGGTTTTTCCCATCCTATATGAATGCTTTCTTTGATTTTTAATTCAATTTTGTTTTTAGCACGATCCAAAATCAAAAAGCATTCATCATTATAATTTTTAAAACATTTTTCTTTTGAGTAAAGATGCTTATAAATAAGAGAGAGCTTTTATCCCTTCTGTAGTATTCAATCACTCACATCTTTAGGTGGCAAAAGGTTTCACCAATATAACAAGATTTACATCGTGCACAAACAATTTTGTAGACGACGAATGATTTAAAATCTACAGGAAGGTAATCTTTAGATGAAAAAAAATCAGACACTTTTAACGAAGTGAATACTAGTTTTACGGTAACTGACTTACAATGTCTCTTTATAATTGCGTGTAATCTTCATTTCGTTAGCTTAGATATTCGACTAATATAAGGGAGTTTGAAATAGCGAGAGTTTGTATGGTCTTCAGACGGTAATAATTATGACATAATTATCTTTCTTAAATAATTAATTATTACTTAAATAATAATTAATTATTTAAGTTAGAGTTGTGGATTTTTTCTATTAGCCAAGATGGGTACATATTACGTTTGAGAATTTTACAAAGATTTTAAATATCATAGCGGAGACCAAGGGTATGTTGTTAATTTTGAAAGTTCTATCAATTAAAGATTTTATAAGACTTATTTTATATGAAAATGAAGTAAAGCTGTAAAAGTTGGTGTATAATCAAGTAAAGGTTTTTTTATGAAAAACTGTTGTAATTGTTGAACTGCTCGACTTACATAGAGTTATGCCAAAAAAGATATTTTTGAGTTTACTTCCTTTTCTATGGTAAAAGATACTGAAGAATGTTTTTTGTTTATGTAATCCAAGAATAAAATTGCATGGTTTTCTGAGGGGAAATCAGCAAAAATGTCATCTACATAACGTTTGTAAAACAACGGTTTTTCTCCATTATAAGATTTGACCCATTTTTTTTCAAAATTACCCATAAACAGATTTAGCAAGTACAGGTGCTAATGGAGAACCCATAGTAACTTCATCAATTTAGTCATAAACCTGTCCTTTAAAGTGAAAATGCGTTTGTGCTGTTGTTAGATGTTAGATTTTTTACTATGAATATTATAAAAGACGTAAATTTATAGTTATAATAAAAAACTAGTGTAAAATTGATATTTATTCTAGGGTGTGTGTAGTAGTGTTTATAAGAGATTGTTTTTGCATAGGAATAATATCTGGTGCCATGCTTCAATTAAGAGTTGAGTTCAATTTATCCTGTTTTCAACAAGAGATGGTTGTATCAAGCTTGTTAATAGGTGGATTGATTGGATCTTTGACTGGTGGTAGAAATTAATTTTTGAGCATGTTTATTATTTTTGTATTATTTGGTGATTTTATTTTTGTTTTAATTTTTTGTAAAACTAATTATTAATTTAGGATTTTTACTTGACAGATTTGGAAGAAAGATTGTTATAATTATGAATGCTTTTTTTTACATAATTGGAGGACTGACTCTGACCCTTTCAGGAAGTTATTCTATTCTGGTAAGATTCTCTTGCTACAATTGTAAAAATGATGTCATCATTCATTAATTTAAGTTAAATAATAAGTTTTGACAGAGAAATTTCTGTTTCCCTTTACAAAATTTTTTTACTTAATACCTAAAAAGTAAAGTTTAAAAAGATAAATTAACTTTTGAGAGAAATGTTTTGTGAAATGTGGTTGTATATTCATTGTGAATATTTATTTATTTAAGCTCTGGTTTCAAATATATGGTATGTAAAATATTTTAATGCTATTGCAGCATTGATTTTTTTAATTTTTCTTTAGCTTATAGGACGTTTTATTATTGGGTTTGCTGTAGCTCTATCTGCTGTCAGTGATTGTGTTTACATATCAGAAATTGCACCAGTGGTAATTATTAAAAAAAACAACTAAATATACTTAAAATAGTAGTACAGATGTTTTGTATTATCTTTAACAGACATTAATATTTGACATATAAATTAAAATAATTTTAGAAAAGGCGTGGCTCTCTCGTTTCTTTGAATGAGTTTGGAATAACTATTGGTATTCTTTTAGCATACTTGACTAGTTTTTTGTTAATAACTAAAAAAGATGGATGGTTAGTTACTTTTGTAGACCTTTTTGATTTCAATTGTTTAATTTTTTGTCGTTTAATAATTTTGTATGTATAATTTTACAAGAGATAAGATAATATGTTTTGCTTATTACAGGAGATATATGTTTGGAATTTCTTGCTTGCCTGCTGCCTTGCAAGCTTTCGTAATGTTTTTTTTACCAGAAAGTCCAAGATGGCTACTTATCAATGGTCAAGAAAAAAAGGTTTTTTTCTTAAGTTATATATGTTTATTATTCTTTTAATAATAACAGGATTGCGTAGGATAATGTGGTTCTATTGGATATTAAGAGTCTAATTGATATTTATCTGTTTTTCTGAAGAACAGCTTAGATAAAAATGTTTAAAATAGCTCTCTAAATTTATCAGCTTATAAAGCAAATTCTTGAGATTCAAAATGGTGAATTGAATGAAGAAAATGCCTATTTAAATGAAAAAAATAAAATAAAATTGGCTAAATAAATTAATAAATGATTATCTTGTGATTAGTTAGATCAATAAATACCAATCATATGATTAGTCAGCTAATAGACAATGAATAATTGACACACCAATAAATCTGAAAATCAAAATTTAAAACTGGTGTTTAAAAAACACCAATTAAATCTAGAGTTAATCAAGTTTCTAGTTTTTTATGTTATTTTTTTATGACCAATGAAAATTAAAATATTTAGTCAAAATTTGGACATAACAATTAAACACTAATGTTTCATTTCTTAGAGATTATATTGACAGAATTTTTTTTTGTAGTTATCTCAATATGAATAATATACAGGCCTGGCTCTAAGCGTGTTCGAAGTGTGCGATGCAAACAGGCGCCGAAAATTCAAAGGCGCCTACAAGATTATATGAAATATAAATTTTATACAATACGAAATTATATTTTTTTAGTTTTTAATTTTTGTAAAGTAATATTTTCCTTTTTATAAATAAAAACGTGCCTCCAAATGAATTTTTATTACCAAAGGAATGTTAATTTTTATTTTTTCAAAATTTAGATAAGTAAGAATTGTATTATCAGCTCCACATAAAAATGTTGTCAGTTAATTTTCATTTTCACACTTTGAAAAGGAATTTAAATTTTATAAGTAAGTGAATTTGAATTATAAACTCACTGTAAGTGAATTTGAATTATAATACAGAAAAATTAAATATTAAAAATTATTTGCTGTAACATGGATCGGAAACGGAAATTGTCTGGTTGGCAAAACAAACAAAATATGGAAAACAGGCTGAAAGAGCAATTTAAAAATCAAAATATGTTGAACAGCTTTCTGCAAGTTAGGCAAAATGAAGACATTTTTGATGAGATAGTTAAAGAAATCGATACACATGAGCGTGAGTATGATGAATATATTGTAAATGGTGAGAAGTCTCTATCTGAAACTGACGAAACTAAGGTTAATGTTGAATTAAATCAAGATGAATGTTTAAGTAGTGAGGTAGAAAAAAATTCTGAGAATATATCTAGCTGTAATGATTTTTGTGATATAACGGATTAGCCGGAACATTGGCAGAATTTACAAATTCAAAATATAGTTTCCAAAGGTCCAATACAAGCTAATATTAACCAGTACCCAAAAGACAGTTTGGGTAGATCATTTAACAAAATACATTTTCATTGGAAAACAGCAAATGGTGAATTATTTAAAAGAACCTGGCTTGTATATTCATCCAAAGTAGATCGGGTGTTCTGTTTTTGTTGTAGAATATTTAGTAGCAATGAATTTGCCTTAGCAAAAGTAGGAACAAATGATTGGGGCCACATAACAATAATTTTAAAAAGACATGAACAAAGTACTGAGCATTTTCGATGCTATGGAAAGTAGATTGAGCTTAAAAAACAGCTTTCTTGTGGTCAAGCCGTTGATTGTCTAGCTAATAAATTATTCTTGAGTTGAGTAGAACATTGGGATGAAGTGCTCAAGCGAATAATCTCAATTATTTTAATGATGGCCTCAGAAAAATATTGCATTTAGAGGATCTTCAGACGATTATTCACAGAAAATAATGGTAAATTTTTAAAAAATTGTTGAGTTGTTTTCAAAGTTTGATCCGGGTGTTAGAGAAACATGTTAAACGAGCAGTAGAAAAGCCAAAATAGCCTCATTACTTGGGAAAAAATATCCAGCAAGAAATTATTTTATTGATCGCTAAAGCTACAAAGGATAATATTTTGGAAATGGTAAAAAATGCAATGTATTTTTCTGTTATTGTATACTGTACACCTGATACCAGTTATAAAGAACAAATGTCAATTGTTCTGCGTTACGTCCACATAACAAAATCAACCAAAGGTAATAATGCTAGTGTGGAAGTTAAAGAAAGTTTTTTGGAATTTATTAACATTTTGGATTCAACCGGAGCGAAGATGACCGAAGAAATATTAACTTTTTTGACACAAAATGGCTTATCAATTATGAATCTTCGTGGTCAAGGCTACAATAATGGAGCCAATATGTGTGGAAAAATAAACGGTGTTCAGGCTCATATTACATACATAAATCCAAGGCCTTTCTTCATTGAGTGTGTCTGCCACTCCTTAAATTTAGTCGTTGTTAATGCAGTGCAAGGAGCTAATGAAATTATTAATTTTTTTTCAACCATCCAAAGAATTTACAATTTTTTCTCAAGATCGTCAAAGCATTGGCATATTTTCATATCCATGTGTTGTAAATTGACAGTAAAATCATTAAGTGATATATGATGGGAAAGCTATGTTAATGCCGTTAGTGCTTTGAAAAGCGGATTGAAAGGCATTTGTTCAGCGTTAAAAAGATGCATCTACACCCATAAAAGCCAAATCAATCGCATCAAAAGTAGACAGTTTTGAATTTATTTGTGGCCTTATAATCTGGCAAGATGTTCTATCAGAAATAAATTGTACGAGCAAATTATTACAATCGCAGAGCATGGATGTGAGATCAACAGGTAGTGTGTTAAAAAAAACAACTAAATTTTTGATTTCTCGTAATTCCGAAGTTTCTTTCGCTAAATATATTTCAGCAGCTAAAGTATGCGCTATAGATGCAGATTTGACTAACGATTTTAGGCCTGAGGTAGAAAATCAGGTCCAAAAAAGAATGCTTTTTTTTGGAGAGGAGCCAGAAGCACCCGAGTCCATTGATCCTAAAATGAAATTCAAAAGGAAATTTTTCGACGTATTATTTACAATAGCAATTTCTTCAATGAAAGAATGTTTTGAATCATTTAAAAGTGTTATGCTACTCTTTGAACTTCTGTATGTTATTAAAAAGTGTGATGAAATGGAGAACAATGAACTCATAGATAAATGTAAATTATTAGAAACAACATTAACTTATAAAGAAAACAAAGATCTTGGCGCAAACGAATTATAAGTTTAGCTGAAGTTGTTGTCTCGAAAAATTGAAGATGATACTAACCCAGAAAACATTTTGAAATGGATTTATAATAACAACGTTGAAAAACTCTTTCCAAATGCACTGATTGCATTAAGAGTGCTATTAATTTTGCCCGTTTCTGTTGCTAAAGGTGAAAGAACTTTTTTTAAATTAAAAATGATAAAAAATTACCAGCGATTAACTATGGGGCAAGAAAAATTGAATGGTCTGGCAATAATCTCCATAGAATCGAACATTGCCAAATCTATTAACCTAGATTAAGCCAGGCGAATCCCTTAGTAGTATAGTTTAATATTTTATGCAATATTTTTTATATTTTATTTAGACATTTTTTTGTCATGTTTTTCTAATTAATTTTATTTTCGTTTTTCTCCTGTTATTACTTGGATTATTTAAGTTTTGTTAATTTTTTTTTTTGATTAATAAAGAAATAAGTTTTAATCACAACTCTGGTTGTTTAATTTTTTTGTCATAAATGAATTTAATTTGCCTTAAAATTATAATCAAAATATTATAGTTTATAAACTATAAACCTATTTTAAAATAATTTGACATTTACAAATTATAAAACAAAAAAAAAATTGATAATGGCTTTGCTTTACTTTTAAAAGATAATAATATAAAACCATAGAAAATAGTGGCCGGGTTTTGCTTATAATATGGCTTTTTAGTACTTTATTGAAAAAAGTTCAAAGGTGCCAAACATTTTTTGCACACACACAAAAAAAACCACGAGCCGGGTCTGATAATATATATAATAATCTATGATATAAATAAATATCTAAATATGAAAACAACTTTATTTTGTAATTCTTATGATATGAATTCTTTTTTTAATTAATATTAGTATATTAATATATCATTTCTTAATCTGATTGTAGGTATTAGGATTACCAAAGCTCATTCAATTTGTTGAATTAAGTCAACTTGCCTGTAGCTGGCCAATTTTATTTACTTTGATATGGTTTGGGAAAACTATTTTATCAAAAAAATTTTTTTTTTTTGCTATTTTAAAATGTTTTTAATCATCTAAAAAAGGTATTACAGCTTTAGAATGTAGCTATTGTGGCATAAGGAAATTTAATTTTTTGATATATAGTTAGTGACCTTACTTGTAAGGAAGTAACAAAGAAAACCGTTAAACCTTTTCCTGCAAAAGAAGATCAAAATACGCAAAATAGTTTATTGCAATACAGTTGATTTATGGTTGGAAAATATGTTTAAAACATTTTGTTTTGAATAAAGAATTTGTTTAGAATAAATAAAATTTTAGAAATGTTAATTTTATCTAGTTTCAAAATGAACTTCTGAGTCAGGTTTCTTCCTAATTCAGATTTTTGCTTTTATGAATATTTTTTAAAAAAGAAGATAAAAAAAAGAAAGTTTATAGAGGTCAAGGTCTAGAGTTATTGACCTTGAGTCTAGAGTTATTGACCTTTGAAAAAGGGTGCAGCTAATATTAAGTTATTGATTTTATTTCTATTTTTATTTTTTATTTCTATTTTGTTTACCAAATCATAATTTGTGACGTGTCAGATTTTTGAGGAACTTAGAATATTGAAACTCAAAGTTAACAGTGTCAAAGAAATATCACTTAATATCACTTATATGTTTTTTTCTTTAACAGAAGTTTTGTTCAATAAAATTTTAAGTTTATATAATAACTTGATTTAGTTTAAAACTAATGTTTAAATAATTGATGTTGCTACCTTTTCCTTACAGGCACAGATTGTAATAACAAAGTTATGGCCAAACTGCAATCTACCTAATGAACTTAATAATCTAAATAAATCTTTGGAGTGTGAACAGGTATTTATATATAGGAATCTAAAAAAGTCTGTTATAAAATGATTATTTTAATGTTTTCTTTTGCAGCTTTTTATTGTGATCTAAATATCTTATTTCTAGATGTTTCTTTTTATTTGTTTCTTTTTAAAGATATTAATTAAAACAAATATTCAACTTAGTATTAAAATAGATTATCAAATAAATATACTTTAGTTCCAAGAAATAGAAGTAATACCAAAACACAGTTTTGTTGCTTCTATAATGTTCTATGCCTCTACAATAGTTAAAAGGAATGGAAATCACGCTTAATTAAATATAAATGTTTAATTGTAATTATGTACTTGAATTATTATTCACTTAGTAAAAGCACTAGAACAAAACCTTTCAATTATTATATAAATGATGATAAAACTCGAACACTAAGTGTTCAATTGTTCAATGTTATGATAAATGTTCGAACTTGTTTGATGTTATAATAATTGATTGTTTGATGTTATAATAAATATTCAATTGTTTGATTTTATAATAAATATTTGATCATAATAAATGTTTAGACTTGTTTGGTGTTATGATAAATATTTGATTGTTTGTTGTTGTAATAAATGTTTGAATTTGTTCGATATTATAAAAAATGTTTGAATTTGTTTATTATAAAGTTATTATTAAAAATGTTCGATATTATAATGTTTGAATTTGTTTGATGTTATAATAAATGTTCAATTGTTCAATGTTTTAATCAATATTCAATTGTTTGATGTGATAATAAATGTTCTAATTTGTGCCTTTTCACCAATTAGCTACTCTTTTTCTTTTTCTTTTTTTTCTTTTTTTTTAATAAAATAAATTACAAAATTTTATCAGTTCTAAATATACACAACAATGCGCTCTGGCACATATATTGTGTAACTATATGCAATTATAGTTAATTTATTTATTATTTTAACATTTTTGCAATTGCACATAAATCTTTATAAAAATTTAGGTAAACGACATTTATTATATAAATATAATTTTAAAAAATTATTTGATTTTCTTCGTTTTTATTTGCAATAGTGGCCATAAAATTAAATCCACCTGCAAAAAATTGTGTAAATTGTATTTTGATAATTAATACTGTAGTAAACTCTAACAAGTTCGCATTTGAACTTTCATTAGGTTAATGTAATTATTTTTTTATTTTTTTGTGATAAATGGTTGCCTGTTATTGTTTCTACAGGAAAAGTGGGTAAAAGTAATATATTTGATTTTCAAAAAGCTCATGTTATTATAATTGGTGAAGGATATTTACAGTGTGAGGTAGCATCTTGATAGAATATTTTATAAAGTGTAAGGTGTGCAACATTATGTTATTCGACGAGCTACACCCTCAAATGTTTAGAATTGCATCTGTAAACTAAAATTGATTGATGAAAGCTGACAATGTTCGCAGTTCATATTCATTATTATTCATGAAGGGAGAAAATGTGGGACTGACATCATTTAAGAAATATTAAAAGACACTTATTAAAAAACTTCAAATTGGCAGCAAAATAATCGATAAAAAAATTATCTGATGACTCTTATGCAACTTTGAGCCCATATAAATTTCTTTAACAGTCACAACGATAAACCAGGTAAATGGTACTAAACCAGACTGGTGGGATAGTGATGTTCAGTGAAGAATACATTTCAACAGGTTTGTGGTTCAGGAAAACTATGTAAGAGGTCTTGAAGGAAAGTATTTAGATTTGAAATACAATCAAAATATATCAGAACTGTCTATCAACTACCATCTATAAGAGGGTTTGGGTGAGATAACTGCAAATGGATGATATAAACTAAAAATATTTGACAAGGAAGTCAAAAAAGTTTTTTTTTTAATTATATTCTGTTTTGCTCTCAATAAGGCTGCAAGCAACCACTATAAAGTTGGGAGTTACTAGGAAAAAAAAAAGAATAGAGTTATAGAGCAAGGAAACAGTTGATAGAAGACTTAAAAAGTTGTAGGTTGTATGAGTCTGGAAAACATGAAGATAAGAAAGAGTTCCAAAGGTTGAAGTTCAGGACTCTGTCAGAGGGTTGTCATTCATTAATATAGGAATGTCAACAGTATTGCTATAGCTTTTTGCAGTAAGTAAATGAGTTTTGTTGGAGTTAAAATCACAAGCCACTGCAAGCCTTAATCTGTTACAGAAGTGAGATCAGATTCAAGATCGACTGCCTGTTCTAAGTGGTCGAAAAAAGAAGACTTTTTGTCAAGACAGGAGTATAAAGTTGAGTCATCAGCAAAAAGAGCTATTTTAGATGTAAGGTTGTTAGGAAGATCATTGATGTAGATAAGAAACAAAACAGAACCAAAGATAGAATCCTGAGGTACCTCAGAAGGTAATGGAAATGTAAAAAAAGTGTTGGCTTTTAAGGATGACTGATAAAGCTGTTAGAAAGAAAAGGTTTAATAATTTCAAAAACTTCCCCAGATACACCATTTGAAGCAAGCTTATGGAGAAGACCTACATGCCAAACTTTGGCATTTAGGTCTTTAGATCTATCAAGAGTTATAGCTCTAGCCTCTCCATCTCTATCTAATTCACAATAAAATCTTTCAGGCTTTTTTGCTAACTGGCCTTTAAATTTACCTGATTTAAACATAATTGAGAACTGTCGAAACCTTATGAAAAGCAAATTGCACACCATCCTTCAAGTGAAATTGATCTCAAAAACGTCCTCAGTAAAGTTTGGATTAATGAAATCTCAGCAGATTACTGTAAAATATTTGTTAGAAGTATGTCATTTGATTGGTCAGAAGTATGTCATTTAATTGGTCAGAAGTATGCCAGCAAAAATTGAAGCGGTCCTTAAAACAGAAAAAAATATTTATAGTGTATTGTGTTGCATTATTTTGACAGAAACATTAAATTATTGCAATATTTAATTTTATGACCACTACTATAATTTTTTAATTTTTTTTTTTTTTTTGGATTAAATTATTTTTGCCTCTTTTTTTCATGGCTAAGTCTTTGTTTAAGTGTTAAAAAAATTTTATTTATATTTTCAGAATTACAAGTTTATGGATTTATTCAGTAGTAAAGAAAATCTCTGTATGAGAATGGTTATTGGTTGCGGTGTAGTTATTTTTCAACAGGTTTCATTTTTTTAAAATTATTTTTAAACAGGCTCATTCATTTTTCTTTAATTATTTTTTAACAGGTTTCTTTCATTTTTCTTTAATTATTTTTCAACATGTTTCTTTCATTTTTCTTTAATCCAAATATAAGAAATATTTTATCAGAGAAAGAGCTAATCATGACTTAAACAAATCTATTTATGGGATAAACTCACTAAACCTGACTATAAATAAACTCTTATGAAATAGTTCAGTATTATCAGGTCTTATAAAATCATTATTATTAAAGTCAGTGGTGGATTAAGGCTTCTTGGGGCCCGGGGCTGTTTTTGTTTTTGGAGGCCTTTTTATGGGCCATAGCCTAAAAATGACTTTTATAAAAAAAAAAAGGTCCTCTAAAATTTTTGGGGGCCCCTAAATTTGCAGGGCCCAGGACCATAGCTCCTCCCCCCCCCCCCCTTAATCCAACACTGATTAAAGTAAGATGTCAACATTATTATCATAAGGTTATAATGACTTGAATGTTGAAATATTATAAAGATAATAGTCAAAACATGTGTTATGCTCAAAAGAAAAACTGAAAATAACAGAGGAAATTGTTTGTAAATTTTTTGTATAATTTTAATCAAATATTTCATTAATGCTCATTTTGATTTAACATTTTATTTAGTTGTCAGGCCAACCTACTATTATATACTATGCACCATCTCTTTTTCAATCTCTTGGTTTTAGTAGCCATGTCTCATCTTCTCTTGTAACAGTTGAACTTGGTATTGTTAAGGTATTAAAAAAAACTTAAAATTTTTAATTTAGCAAGTACAATATTAAATATTAAAAATATTTTTCCAGGTTGTTTTTACTTTTATATCACTGTGTTTCATTGATAAACTTGGTATGTTTTTTTTATTACTTTTTGTTCTTTGTTTGTTTGTTTTTTAATTCTGTTGTTTTTAATTGATTGTATCTTTTTGTTTTTTTAAAATAACTCAATAGATATTTTTGTAATTTTAGTTGTGAGTATATTCTAATATACGTATATTTTTATACAATTATTTTACTGTACTTAATTCTTAGTTTGTTTGTTTTTTTGCTTGTTAAATTCATTTACTCAAGGCTCCAGAGGTGACCAAAACAGTTCAGGAGTTGTTAAATTTTTTTTTAATTTTTATTTGTATTGACCTTATTAATTCTAAAACATAAATCTTCTGCCCAGTGGTCTTGTTAAACATGTTGATTGCTGACTTTCAAAAGCTTAGAGTTGACCCAAAACATCTTGGTTGATAGTGGAGAATTTTACCTCTAGTTTAGTGTTGCGTTGCTAGTTTAGTGTTGCGTTGTTAGTTTATTGTTGTGTTGTTAGTTTATTGTTACGTTGTTGGTTTAGTGTTCCGTTGTTAGTTAAGTGTTGCGTTATTAGTTTAGTGTTGCGTTGCTAGTTTAGTGTTGCATTGTTAGTTTAGTGTTGCGTTGTTAATTTAGTTTTGCATTGTTAGTTTAGTGTTGTGTTGTTAGTTTATTGTTACGTTGTTGGTTTAGTGTTGCGTTGTTAGTTTAGTGTTGCGTTATTAGTTTAGTGTTGCATTGTTAGTAGAGTGTTGCGTTAAATTGATTTAACTTTTTTAAAATAATCTTCTAATAATCTTTTTAATTAAACTCCATTTTTACTTTTATAACAGTTTCAACTATTATTCAATTAGAAAAACTTTCTGATAGAATAACTTTTCAACAGAGATCTAAAGTTTTTGCACAAACTTTTTTTTTTCAATGACAGTATTTTGTAATAATAGTGTTATGCTCATATTCAACCATTAAAATGAGTAAATAAAATTTTTATGTTACAGTAACGAAGAAAAACTGGTATTTATTTTTAGAACCAACTATATTTTAAGTATAGAAATAAGGAATAATATTTGAATAATCAGAGTTAATAGAACAATATGAGAGAAAGAGTAAGAGAGTACAACAGTGCTAAAGTTAAGATTAAACATCAACAACAATATGTCATATGCTGCATGGTGTCTTCACTTTAAAAATTGCCATGGTCTATCTAAATCTTGTACTTTTCTGATGCAGACACCAGTATTCTTAATTGTGTTAAATGATTTTGTGTTTAGAGTTAAAAAAAATTGCGTTTTTTTCTATTTGCGTTTTTTTGGCTTAAAGAAACCTGTTTCTTTGGCGCTTTTTTTTTTTTTTTTTTTTTTTGTGTGTTTTTCTGCTTTTTAGTGATTTTTTAGTTTATTTTGGCATAAATTTTGGAGTAGTTTTCTTTTATACTAGTATATGTTTAGTATATGATTAAAAACACAATTACACCAATTTAACTTATATTTTTAATAAAAAATTAAATTAGCTATAAGTTAGTTATAAATCTTGGTATAGTATGGGAATGTCTATTTGTCATTTTGTACTTCGTAACAACTGTGATACCCTCTTTATATATAGAATCTATTCTTATCCTATAAGAAAGTTACCATTTTAATTTTGATGATGTAAATATATTAGTATATAATACCATGCCAGATTTTAAATGCTTAAAGAAATAAGCAATCTATATAGATTATTTATTTCTTTGAGCATTTCTATATTGTGTCTTTGCTAGTAGGCTGTTATAAAAAAAAGCCCAATAATTTACTTAATTTCGTATTTTATTTATTCTTTATTTTTTATCTGCATTTTTTTTACACCTAGAGATTTTCATATAGTACTATATCAGCACACTTGCGAAATTTTTCAACATGCTTTGTTGTTCAAGGTCAATTTTAAACATAATGTTATGGCAAAAGGAAGGTTTAACTCTATTCATTTTGCTAATTTGGTTTATGAGTTTAAATAAATGGGCAACTAAGGTTTAATTCTGCCCCCCTGTATGAATACTTGAATCCGACAAGAAGAAATCACTCCAAAACTTAAAGATATCCTTTCTCTCTAATATATATATATATTCATGTATATATAGATATTTTGGTGCCTTAAAACCCCCTTTAGAAAATCACAACTCAGTGTTTTTAATGTGCTGTGATTACCTTATGTGTTAATGCTTTTTTAGATTTTATTGCAGAAAAACTACAATTTTTTGATAACAAAAATAAAAAACATAGCCTATTATAACCTTTTTTTTTAAATTTATATAAAATTTTCTTTTATTTGAGTACTAAGTTAATCTATTTTCAAAAGACTTTTTTTAGAAATAGAAAATGGACTTGAGCATGTACTAAATATTGAACAATTAAACTTAAATTAGGGTTAATTTATTCACAAAAGATAGCCACATCACATGAAAAAAAACTGAGTTCTAATTTTTCATCTAAAGGCACCCTTTATGTAGTATAAATAAAGCTTATGGTAAAGTTTGGCTTGCTGGTCTTCTCCATAAGCTTCCTTTATATGGTGTGTTTGGGAAAGTTTTTGAGATTATCAAAAAAAAATTATTTTCCCAATCACTTTATTAAAGTCATCCTCGAAAGCCAACACTTCATTTCCAGTAACTTCTGGGGTACTTCAAGGTTCTATCCTTGATCTTGTTTTGTTTCTTATCTACATTAATGATCTTCCTAAAAAATCTTACATCTTAAGTTGCTTTTTCTGCTCTGCTCATCGACCTTGTTTGTCAAGGTCGATGAGCAGAATATTTTGGAGTTAAAGAGTACAGAGGTTGTAACCATATCAAAATAACCTTTTTGACTGTAGTGCCCTGCTCTGCTTTAGGGAGTTAAATAACATTAAAAAATAATAATTTCTTTTTCATGTTCTTATTGCTAATGTTGTTGCTTTTTGAAACATTCTGTTGGCTAGAGCACCAATTTTAATCATTTAATATCATTTTGTTTGTAACTGATTTAATTAAGAATTCTAAAATTTTGTTTTGGTGTCACTTTTTTGGTTAGTGAATTGTTTTATTCTTTCATTTATTTCCTATTTGACTTAATATTGTAGAAAAGTTTGATTTTAGATTATATGATAGATTTAAAACAAATTAATAACAAACACCTTCACAACTTTATTTTTTTTTATTATTTTATGCTTTTCTGTTGTCCTTTCATGTGTTTAAGGTAGTTTTTTTCTGTTGTCCTTTCATGTGTTTAAGGTAGTATTTTTCTGTTGTCTTTTCTCGTGTTTAAGGTAGTTATTTCTTTCTCTTGACGAAAAAACTACCTCAAAGTATTTTTTCTAATATTACTTTAAAATAGTTTTGTTAAAACATTCAATTTTGCTATAAATTTTAGGTCGTCGTAAATTTCTTCTTCTTGGTGCTATTATAATGACTCTCAGTGTTATAACATTAAGTGTGGTTACAGAGCCATTTCAAAATGTCAAGATTCAAAAAAGCTGCAGTAATGCCCAAGTATTAACAATTAAGAAAACATGTTTCAATCAATCTATAAATTTTCATCAGAACCTTTCAAGTTTAGTAAACCAATCTAAACTGGATGACAGTAAAAGAATACTAATTCAGGATTATCTTAACTGCAAAAAAACAAACTTTGTCTCAAATTATCCTGTTGCCATTAGGTACACGTGTTTGTTTGCATTAATGTTATTCATTATTGGTTATGCAATTGGTTATGGTCCAGGTATAGTTTTTACATTTGATTCACATTTTTTAAGTTTTTAATTTTTAATAGTTATTTTTAATTTTAGGTAAAATTCTCTTTTAAAATCTATAGTTTGTTTATTATTTAGACAAATTTCCTATTTTAAACTTTTCATAGAAATATTGACTGACTGACTGCATCCACTTAAGAGCTACTCTAGAAAAATAATTTTGGAAACGGTATCTTTTAGTCACACATTAACACTCATATATTGTCATACTGAATTCCCCCCCCCCCCCCTCCTTTTCACATTATTGAATTAAAAGGAGGGGTGGTATTTTCCTAATGATTTAAATAAAATAAATCAATTGGTTTTTTTAAATTCCATATGGTTTAACAAAACTTTTTACAAATTTTAAAATCTTGTAAAACTGCGTACAAATGCTAAGTCAGACAAGGCATGAAGTTGTAATATATTAAGCCAAAATATGTTTTTATTTATTTCATATTTGTATTCTAATAAATACTAAAACTTTGACAAAATTATTTTTGAACTCATATTATGTTTTATGTAAGTATTTTAATATTTAAATGATTTATTTAACTGGTTGTAATTGCAGCTATTTATTTTATCTGGTAATTCTATTTTTTTTTAAATTTTATGTTCATAGTTCCAAACTTGTAGTTTGGAGTGTTTCTACAGGTGTAACCTAATGAAAGTAACCTAGTAAGAGTTAACCAGATTTGGAGATAAAAACCTAAATATTCTTATTGTGATACTATCTAAATGAGGATTATCGTCAATGTTTTACTAGCTCCTCCTATAGTGGTAGGGAGCATATGTGAAAAAGGGTACATCCTTATAACTATATTATTATATTTACTATATTATTTATAATAATCTAGTTATAAAAACTTGACAGCCTTTACAAACTTAAGAGTTGGTAAAGGCTGTCAAGTTTTTATAACTAGATTATTAAGAGTATGAACATAGTCTTCCACTTCTTTTTTTCTGTTCAACATTTCCTGACACAATTAACCTTTTTTTACTTTAAGAGCAGTGTTTCTGTGGACTCCAAGGGCCTCAGCAACAGCTTTGGGCGTCATCCCAGCACTCAAAAATTGAATAATCTCTTTGTTTTTGTTTCCCATTTTAATCTACATTTAAATAAGGAATGTTCCGGATAGCATCTTTTAAATATTCGATTGGATACCAATTAACCAAATAATCAAACATTATTTTTTCTTAGATATTTGTATTTATGGACAGATATTTTCATTACAAAACCTCTAATTCGTATTTTATGTAAAAATCAAATAAGCAGGGGATCTAATAGTTGTACTCCACTGTATATCGCGTCAAAAAATTGCATTTAAAATTGTATGAAAAGAAAAGAAAATAATTGTAAAGAAAATGTGTGAAATGAAAAAGCAAATATCTATCGAGTTGAGGCAGTTGCTTTTTTTTTTTACATTTAATGTTAATTTTTAATTATGTATTCATCAAAATGATATAAGAATAAAAGATAATAATAATAAAAAGTCAAATCAAATTCATAAAAAAAAGGTATGTTGATTGCTTTAGCCAATTAGTAATAGTAATACTAAACAGTTGGTTATCATATATTGCTAAAAGAACTAGCCCTTAAATTGTTAGCACCACCAGCATTTTCTGCATTTTCAGAGAGATTATTTTCTGAGTATGGAAATATTTTTGAGAAAAAGCGATCAAAGCAGTTACCCCAATGTGGAGAAATGCTATTGTTTATACATAATAATGTAAATAAGTTCATGAGTGATAAAGATGAGTGATAAAGTCTGTATTTCTTGTGCACAATTAATTGCAAAGAAAATTAAAAGGCAAACAAATTCATAAATAAGTGATAAAACCTGTATTTTTTGTGCCTTGTTAGTTCTTATTTAATTGAATGATATAACTTGATATAAATATATATATATATATATATATATATATATATATATATATATATATATATATATATATATATATATATATATATATACATATATATATATATACATATATATATATATATATATATATATATATATATATATATATATATATATATATATATATATATATATATATATATATATATATATATATATGTATATATATATATATATATATATATGTATATATATATATATATATATATATATATATATATATATATATATATATATATATATATATATATATATATATATATGTTTTAGTTTATTTTTTGTTAGAGTTTTGTTTTATTCTAATTAATCTGATTTATTGTTTTCATTTTTTATACAAGTTTATAAATAAAATACTCAATTATGAATAAATAATAAAATTTATTTATTGAAATAGAACAGAAAATATTTGTATTTTTAAGTGACATGGCTACTATTGACTGAAATATTTCCAACTGGCATCAAAGGAAGAGCAGCTGCAGTAGCAACAAGCCTAAATTGGGGAACAAATATTATTCTTTCGATGGCTTTTTTAGATATGATAGGTAACTTTTTTAGATGATAATTTTTATTTTATTTGAAATATTTGAAATTGTTTAAAGATATTTTTAAGATTTTTTATTTTAGATAAACTTGGTCCTTTTTATATATTTCTGATGTATGCAATGGTTGGTGTAATTTCTATAATTTTCATTTATCATTTTGTTCCTGAAACCAAGTTCAAATCTCTTGAAAGCATCAGTTTTGAACTCAGTAAAAGGTTTGCATTTTTTGTTTTTATTTGAAATTTATTTGTTGAGTACAAGAAAAAATAAGAATTTTATGGAGTAGTTTGGTGAATTCTAGAACTGTTTAATGTCAATTTTTTTCAATTCTTTTAAAACTTTTTCATGCTTTTAAACAAACTTCAATAAGTAATTTACCTCTAGAAACTTATGCTTTATATATGACAATTCAGAAAGTATTTATGTTAGTATACGAAAAGTTTTTTCCAGTTTATTTTATAAATTGACTTTGATGTTGTTTTTATTTTATTTTATTTAGTCTCCATAATCTCGATTTTTTAAGTAGTATTTATTTTTTAACTGTTTTTATGAGTAATCCAGAAAAATATTTTGCATGGTTATTTAATGCACTTAGTTTTGAACATCTGGAGTTGATAAAATAATTTTGTTTCATCAACACTTCTTGTAATATTTATTATTGTAGATAATTTGTTTATAAATATCACATAAAAAAAATTATTACTTAGCTGTATTTTATATTTTTATATTTTAAATAAAATAATTTTGTCCTTTAAACACCGATTTCTGCAAACAATCAATATTTATGTTTCAATGTACTAGGAATAAGGAAGGAAAAGCAAAAAAAGATGTAAAAATTATCATGGTCACCCTCATACTGGTAACATGAATCTGTTACAGCCTTCCACTTCTTGTAAGAATTTTAGGCAAAGGCTGTTTCAAGTTGGCCTTCTATGCAAAAGATTTTTGTGATAAACAGAAATTTCTGTTGACTGGCTTTGTACCTCTTCTTCATCTAAAAGACTGGCAAAAAATGATGGCTTTAAAAATTATTTTAATGCTTTTAAGGTTGTTAGTAAGGTTTTCTGAACTTTGTAGTAGCTCTCAGAAAAGCCATAAGCTAATTTAAAATACCAGAGAATTAAAAGTTCTATTTTGTACTTGGATGGTGTCACTGTTAGTGCTTTCGGTGTGCATTGTCAAGGCCACAAAAGAGCTTTTTGTTACAACTTTAGATTAGCAGGAATGAGATTACTGTATAGTTTATAGGTTTGGGTGTCATGCACCTTGACAATCTTTGATTGAATCAAGTTCTTTGTAATAGTTTGAATTATATCAATTATTTTATTCTATATAATAAATGCTTATGGTGTTCAAGATCACTTTTTGTCCATATAATCTCTTGCAAGTTTCACTAGATCTACTTGCTTATTGTAAGACTATTTTAAATTTGGCTG